ACCTTGTGCAGCAGATTTGCTTAATGCAATACGTCGTCTGATCTCTTGACTGCTGCTTTCCTGAGTGTTGATAGTTGATCCAAGAAGAATGAAGTCCTTGACAATTTCAATCTTTTCTCAATTGATAAGAATGTTGTTTATTGGTCCAGTGGTGAGGATTTTCGTTGCTATAGCTTGTTGTTATGTGCTGCCGAGTCAGTTCCGACCCATAGATATATGCATTTGACTCTGTAGCAGGCTTCATAGTCCACTTACTGCTGCCAAGCCAAAACTGGGCACTGAAGAAAAACATTATTACACTGAATGGGTCAAAGAGGAAGTAAACCCAGTTTTGTTTATTTCTTGGAAAAGTGACAATATTAATATTTTCTTCTCCTTTCTTCCCCCATCCATCCTGTTTTACCCACTACTGTGTATTTACTTCTGGTTTGATTTAACTGCTAACAGGAAGATTAATATGGTCCCCAAATTTTCCTTCTAATGGTACTTCCACCATCTCAGTTCCACTTACTTTCCTGTTTGTTGTTGTTGTTAATTGCTGTCTAATCCATTCTGATTTATAGTGATACTGTATATGATTTCTGAGGAGCAGTTGGTAGGTTTGAACCGCCCACCCTGTGGTTCACAGTCCAGTGCTGATCCACAGTGCCACGCCAGAACTCATATTTATATTGCAGAATAGTAGGAACAAAGAAAGCTTTTTTCCCCTCCTTATTCAAATAGTAAAAGTTAATATGAGGGTTCTTCAAAAAGTTCTTAGAAAAGTTCCTTTATCTTTTTTTAAACAAACACTTTTTGTTGTAAACTGAGTGAAGGTTTACAAAGCAGATCATCAGTTTTACATTCAACAAATCATATACTTTGCTTCATCACAACGACTGCAATCACTCCATGTGACAACAGTTAACAGCATTTACCTGTACGCTGTGGTAGCGTAGTGGTTACGAATCGGGCTGCGAACCTTAAGGTCAACAGTTCAAAACTACCAGCCGCTCCGCGGGAGAAAGATGAGGCTTTCTACTTCCGTAAAGATTTACACCCTTGGAAACCCTGTACAGGGTTGCTATGGGTCGGACCCGACTCGATGGCACTTAACAACAACTTTAACTATTGCATTCATCCCTGTATTTCCCACTTTGTCTTTCCTTTGCTAACCCACCCCCTTGTTGTATATTGTCTACCCTGTCACCCATGTTAACATGTGTCCACCCTCTAGCCTGTGAATAATATTCCCTCCCTACTTCCCTTCCCCCATAATCATCATAGATTGTTTTTTTTATTAAGAAAATCTTAACTTTTATAACATTGATCTCATACGATATGTTTTTTTGTGATTGACTTATTTCACTCAGCACAATCCGGGTTCATCCATGTTGTGAAGTGTTTCACAGACTCATCTTTATTCTTAATGATGTAAAGTGTTCTATTGTATGTATCTACCGAAGTTTGTTTAACCAATCTTCTGTTGATGGCCATTTAGACTTGGCTCCATCTTTTTTTTTTTTTTTTTTTAAATTAAATGTTTTTATTTTGCATTGAGTGAAAGTTTACAGGGCACATCATCAGCTTCACATTCAACCATTCATATAGCTTGTTTCGTTACATTGATTATTATCCCCACCATATATCTGGATTGAGTTCTGAGTGGTGGTGTCATGTTGTCACATTTTTCCCAGGTTCCTCTTGCTCTTGAGATATCTAAAGGATTAGCCCCACTGAGTGACTGCTTTTCAAGCACACATGAACAATAAGCATTCACTCAGAAGCTCTTTATTACAAAGCGAAAGTACACTTCAAAGAGGAAGTGGGTTCATCTCTGTGAGTGGAGAAGATCTAGTAGAATGGGGGAGCAAACATTAAGTCAAAGTGAAAGTACACATTAAAGAGAGAAGCAGGTCTGTCACCTCTAGTGGAGAAGAACCTGTGGGGTTGGGGTGCACTAGCTTTTAAGAGCATGGGGGTCTCTTCCTTCAAGAGTGGGATGATACTTATTGATTAGGAGGAGTGGTACTTTGAATATTCTTTTTTTTTTTTTTTTAAAGGTTTTTATTGTGGATTGAGTGAAAGTTTACAGGGCATATCATCAGTTTTACATTCAACAAATCATATACCTTGTTTCATTACATTGATTATAATCC